GGTGGTAAGCTCTTCAGTGGAAGTTGTAACTACCATACCCAGCACTGAGCACCAAACCAGCAGGCTGGGTGGGTATGGCTATGCCTAAATGGCTGCCACTTTGAGCTTGGTTCAGAGATGAAGGGTCTTATGTAAGTATTTGAGGAACTTAGTGATCCAGTTTCTAGCATGTTTTCCTTATAATAACTTCTAAATATGGAAGACATTTCTATTTTACAGATGCACAATATCTTGTACAGTAGCATCGTCTGTGCTACCAGGCTCCGGCGTGGTCCAAAAAATTAATAACTGTTCTGTGTTTTGGAATTCTTACACAATTTAATAGCAGAGCAGTGTAATGAAATCTCTGTGGTAAAGTGATGAGAGTGAGTGGTTTTGTGTATGAATTGCAGGGGCTGCAAGTGGGCAAGACACTAGCTACTTGTTTTATTGCTGACAATATACTTATTTTCATGTTTATTCCTGGATTACAATGTGTGAATAGCATCCCAGTAAACAGTCAGGCAAGTAGTTATTTATCAAGTATTTAAAAGTGAAAGGTCTTGTAATTTTCCTTAGTAATGACTGTGATTTCTTCCAGCTGGATTAATGACTCCCATTTCTCCCCATGAAGAACAAGAATTGTTTTGGTTTTTACATGGAGAGAGTTATTGTCTCCCATAATAATGCAGACCAGAGGATTTTTTCCTTCCTGGCCTGGGATCTGGGAAAGGTTGAAATGTGCATAACCTGAATTAATACCTTGTAAAGCTCTTTAATACTCTTCCATCATTCCTGTTGGAGTGGTGCAGGAGTTGCTGCTGGCATCAGCCCAGCAGCAGCCTGCCTCAGAGCAGCTTTTGTTTCAGTTTATGAGGCAGTAAGTGGGTCTTGTGATGGAATTGCCTTGAAAGGTCACTTTTAATTACATTTCTGTCGCATTCCTCTGTCCCCAGCTGGGCAGTCCTGGTGGAACAGGTTGCATGCAGCTTTGCAGCTGAATTTCTGCAGCAGACAACTCCAAAAATATATGTTAGAGCAGCTACTGGCAGGCCAAAGGGAGCAAAGAAAATGGAACTAAGTGTTGTATTTTGTGCCCAGCTCTTTTTACTGGTACCCTGAGGTGGAGGAGTGTGTGAGAATCAAAGCATAAATGAACCCTTGGTAGCACTCTATCTTGTACCCCTGGATAGCTGAAGTGTGTGTCATTGAAGGCCTGTGCCAGACTCTCCCTGTGCATCGTGTGCTTTCTGCTTTCTCACCCTTTCTGAGACTGAGCACTGTCCTGTTCTGAGAGCTGTGGCTTGTAGTGCTGGTCCAACCAAGAGTGTGCTAACTCTGTCAGAGTGCAAATCCCTAGAGCTGTTTTTCATTTCAGCCTTGTGCCTTTCTTTTCATCAGCTGGTAGGGGAGACATCAGTTCTGTCTCCAGGCTGGAGAAAGCTGAAGATACACAGGAAGTTAGGGCAAGGCCCCAGTGCTGAGATCCCAGCTCTGCCACTGCCTTTGAAGACTTGCTCGCTGTTGTGTGTGTCCAGATCCTGTAAGCTACTTAATTGCCAGATCCCTGTAGGTTTGTGGGAGCTGGGCTGGGCTGGGCTGTCATCTCTTAGCAGAGCCAGTGGGAAGGCATGCTTTCAGTGACCTCTGCCTCCTTTCCCAGCCCCTGCCTTCTCTTGGTCCTACACTCTTTCAGGCCCAGAAAAGTGCAGGGTTCAACAGCTGGGATCCAGCCCAGGAGCAGGCCCTGTGACTCTATTGAGACCAGTCTAGAGTTTGGTTTTTTTCCCAGGCACGTGGTTAGTATGCTACACCTCTTTGATTCCTTCCTGCTCCAGGTTGCCTGATGTTTCCCCCTGTGGCTCACGTGCTCCCTGCGTGCCAGGGATGCATCCTGATGGCTCTGCAGTGCAGGGGGTGACAGGAGGATAGGGACCCTGCCAGGAGCTAGCAATGCAGAGTGCACAAGAGAGGGTGCTGCTTCTCAGCTTGGCAGGGGTCAGAGCTGGCTGTTGATGCTGCATTTGAAAATAAATAGACTGTGCGATTGCATTGATCTGAACTCAGCCTCATGGTTGGGGAAATTCTGTCTTATTGCTGCATGAAGCCACCAAGTTTATCCTGTCAAATGAAATCCATGGATGTAGGGTAGGTGACCACTGTTGCCAAGGGCTGTAACTGAATGGTGTGTTTGGGGGTGTTCTAAATTGTGATGATGCTGTAGCAAGATTTTTTTTTTTTCTTCTTGAACTGCTTTTCTTCTTTTCTTACCCGTTCCCTTACCAATCTGATCAGCAAACACTTCTAAATATTCATAGTGTGGGATTTGTCTCTATCCACATGACTGCCATGGTTTGAAAGGCATGTGACAATGCAGGGGGGAAATGGGGTTAATCTCCTCCTGCACTGGCAGAACAAGGCTGAGCAGTTGTACAGCACAGGCATTATTCTTGTGCATTTTCCACTGCATTTGCAGTCTGTGGAGAAGGAGGAAGGAAAGTTTCAGATGCTGATTCACTATCAGGATGGAGACATGGATAACACCAGTTGTGTGTGTGCAAGTGAGATTTCAGGACATCAGCACCTCCAGGGTTAACAGATAACTCCGTGTCACTTTCCTAGATGCCAGCCCAGCAGAAATCTATGTGGGGCTGCAGCTCCTGGGGTTTCTCCATGATTATTAGCCAGTTCTTTCATGGAAATTGTGGGGTCAGGTTGGTGGGTAGGAAGTAAGCAGTGATTTAGCCTGACTTGTAGCCAAGGGAGATCCCATGGCCAGCCAGGCTTTCAGCCTCTTGTCAGCACATGGTCTAGACCAGGGATGAGCCTGCCCATCCTTGCTGGAGCAGATGCAACCAGGCTGCAGGAGGGTGAGATGAAGGATTGTTTATTCTATGCTGACTGAGCTGTGGGTCAGGCTGCCTCTGTGCCCATAGAGCTGCAGGGCCTTGGAGAGGCTCACAGGCTTGTGCTCCATGGGAACAAAATTGTTAGCTTGACAAATCAGGGCAACCTCATTAAGAGCTACTGAGAGCATGAAAAGCATGCTGCTGGAGGCAGGTCATGGTAAATGAGGGGGCTAAAGTAGCTGGGATTTTCTAACAATTAATTATTGAGTGGTTTTCTAGAGATTCTTTCTCATGTTTATAATTCATTCCCTGCTGTAGATGCCATATTGATTTATAATTTTTTGAAGTTCAATATTTTGTACCCTCGAGGCCTCAAACAAAAATTAACTAGAAAATGAGAGTCAATTTCTACATTCTGCCTTGTCAGAGCTTTCTCTCTGTTGCCCATTCCCAGAGCCAGTTTCCATGCTCTGGTTTGGGTTGCAGATGTTGCCAAGCCTGTGTGCTGTGGGGCTGTGAGACGTGGGTGGCAAAAGAGCTGCTTCACTGACCAACAAATGAGAAAATCAAGAGCCCAATTAAGAGCCTGGAATTGCCCCCAGTGACCTGAGGAGAGCATTTAGTAGCTGCTAGTGAGATGGGCCTGTTTGAATGAATAAGCATTCCAATTTGTTGGAAGGAAAAAAAATCCCCTCCTCCCCCAGCTCTAATTAGTTACTCTTTTTCTCTTTTCTGCCATGAATGTAGAGGGTTTGTCACTGGAATGAAATATTAAAAAGATGTGGGTTCTTCAGCTTGCAGCTGATGAAGGTGATCTCTGTGCAGGGGATCTGGAGACTCTTGTACCTGTTTTCTGTGTTTTCTTGATGGATCTTTGATTTTACTGTTGAGTACAGCTCTTCCTTACCCTCTGATTTCTCTCTTTTCCTCCAACAGGGTGACTAAAGAAGTGGACTCAAACTCAAAAGAAGCTAAATCTTTTCTGAAGCAGCAAGAGAAACTGCAGTCAGCAGCTCCAGCTTCTTTGCCGACAGTCTCGGGGTGAGTCTGGGATTTCCCTGCCCTGTATGGGCCCTTAGTGAGAAAGATGGCACTTGAGCCAGTAGTGCAGGCTCTGCAGTATTTAATGGGTGGTTGTTTTCTGTAGGATTTCTGTGGGAGCAAGGCTAGGCCTGGAAGGTGTGATGATTTGGGCTGGAGGGAAGTGGGGGAAGCAACCTGTGAGTTCCAGTGACTCACTTCATAGGTTCAGGCTCAAATTTTTTAATCCTCATAAATCATTCATCCTAGTAAGGAAATAGTGGTTTGACTGTCTCAAGCAGCCTGATGAAACTGCAGGTAGCCAAGGAACATACCTGAGATTGCCTACAGTTCCTTTGACAAGTGCTTCTCAGGGCTATAAAAAGCCATGTCAGGCTGGGCTGTGGCTTCTTAGAGACTTTGGGTGAGCATTTAAATGAGAGATGTTTTTGCCTCTTTGATGTTCTCGAATATCATTTTGATGTGGATTTGTCACTTTTCTGTTCAAGCTCTAACACCTAATTCTGAGATTATCATAATGCTTGTCAAAGATAGAAGGAGGTCAGGTCCCCTGTGCATCTGACATGCCAGTCTGGTTCATGATGAGCCTGGGAGATCACCAGCTTCTTAGGACTGGAGGAGATGCTTCTGTGTTCCAGTGATTATTTTTATTTAAGTCAGTTGTTTGCATTTATATTTGAAAATGGAAGCTGCATATGATTTGATCACACAGAAACAATACCCATTAAATAAATACATTGTCCTTCCCATCTGCTTAGAGCAATCCTCCAGTGTGAGTTAAGGCTGCCTTTCCCTGAGATGCTGTTATTCAGTTGCTGCAGCTGGATTGTCACTCATTTTTCCAGCTAAGTGTTGCATAGCTTGTACTTAGCTCAGGGTAGTGAAAGCACAGTGTGTGTGTGCATGACCCTTGACAGCTGCTGTTCTCTGAGCTGAATGAAGGCATAGATGAGCATAGCCTTCCTGCTCTTGTTCACACTGCACAAGGGTTCATCTCTGCAGAGCTCATTAATTGTAACTTAAGTGTTGTGTACAGGGTTTTGTGCTGGAAAACTTGCCTTGGGTTGGGCTGGCATTCTTTGTGCAGTTTTGGTGGCCAAAGTTTGTTTGAGTGGCAGCTGAAGCTGGGACAGCTCTGCACTGTGCACACTGCTGGTGGTCCCATGTTTTCAAACCTGCTTTCCAGTTTCCCCAGCAATTGCCCTGCTGCTCTGAGTGCAGGCAGGATTGGCAGCCCACTGCGAAAGCTCCAGGAGCTGTTCACCTTCCAGTTCAGCAGAGTTCCATGGTTCTTCCTGTGTCTTACAGACCCAGGGGAGGAGCTGGCTGGCCAGGGGGCCTGTGCAGCCTGGTCATTACCAAGGGGCATGGTTGCTTTTGCTGGAGCTTGGATTGCTCAGGAGTAATAGCAACAGCTCAGTTTGAGTTAATGTTGCAGATACCTGAAGAATTCACATCAAATATGGAAAAAAGTGGACTAAAAATCAATATAAGAAATGAGTTCAAGGACTTCTTTAACTTTCCTTCAGTGTGGGTATTTTAGATGCAACTTAATTAGGTCATTGTTCAGCTTGCTGATGTGTGATGTCCTACTGACAATTGCTTGCCCAGAACATGAGGTGACCTGGCTGTGGAGAAGGATGGGGAAAAATATCCTGAGCTTGTATGTTTTGCTTTTCTTCAGAGCACCAAACCCCGATGCAGCACAGCCCCAAATGCCTTCCCTTTTACAACCTCCTGCAGCACATCCTGGCTTTGTGCAGGGATCCTACAGCACAGGAACAACAGTAGTGTTTGGATCAATGTGTGGAACAGCCCTGCTCTCTTGAGGCTTTAGCAGGAGGTTCTCTGGGGCAATCTGACCAGCATGGGCCCTCTGATCTGAGAGTGCTCCAAGGAGTCTTGGACTAGCATCCAAGACTGATCCCTGAGACTGCCAGCAAACATGCTTGCCTTTGGGCTTAGGAAGATGCTTCCAGCTGGGAAGCCAGCCAGGGTATTTTCAGGTGAGAAAATTACTAGCAGGCTTGTGGTATTCCTTAAAGCCAGAGGCAAGCCCCATATGTTAAGCAAATTACAAAGGTCACATTTTAGACTTGAGCCAAGCTATCGAAATCCTGGTGCTCTGGAGCAAAGAGCCACGAGCCTTGGTGACATGCCAGAGCAGTGCCTGGGGACCAACAGAACCTGGCGTACCCTGACAGTTCTTTTCACCTTTTTTCTACTTAAAAGACATGTTTTTGGGGAGAGGGTACATTTTCCCCTTATGCATTATGGGAGAGGCCCAGTCTGTTGCCTCAAGGCAGTGAAAAACGTGATTTTGGGATCTTAGCTGTGCCTGTGGACACCCACTGTGCTGTGAGCCATTGTCAGCCCCCAGGAGCTTTGTCAGCTATTAAAAAAAAAAAAAAAAAAAAAGCCTTGCCCTGTGTTCAGGGAATTTGAGCAGCTAAGAGTGGCCTCTCCATCTGGCTTTTCTTTCTTCACCTTGCAAGCAGCATGCATTATTTCTGAATGCAGCCAACCTACCCTGCATTTATTGAATTTCCCTTCTCTAAACAGACAGAAGTAATCCAGAAAAGCAACGGTTGCAAAACCAAACATCCGGCTCCACGTCTCCATGTTACAAACCCTTGCAAACTAACTGGTCCAGGGGAGGGATGTTTGGGGCTGAAAGTGCATTTCCTGAATGTGTTTAACATCCATACCGGATGTGCTATAAAAAGCTAGATTTGTGCTTGTGAGGGACATGGGGGTGGTTGGAGAAGAATAACTTAAACACTTGTCTGTAATTAAAGCCAGGAGTACAAAACAACCCACCCAGTTCTCTCAGCAGGCTTTGCTAGAAAGGTCAGAAGCCCTTGGTTCCCAGGGATGTGATGGTTCCCAGCCTTCACATTATTCCCATCGTGTCCCCCTGTGACACACAGCTAGGCAGTGTTCTGTCAGCAGTGGGTATTGGTTTGTTGGAGAGGTTTGGGTTGTGATACTCTGCTCCAATTGTTTCTGTTGTGCTCTTGGGTTCTGTTAGGCTCTTGCTGATGCCATTATAGGTATCAGATGTGAGTGGACTCACTGATCTTTCTCACTAGCTGCCCCAATAAATGGGTGGAAGGCTCCCAGCATCTAAAAAAAGCCCTCCATCCACCCAGCTAAGTCTTCTTGTCTGTGTGTTTTAGAGCTCATTTCCTATCCTTAACCACTGCTCCAGGACCCTTTGGGGAAAGCAAGAGTAGATCCTGGCTGTAAATGAAATGCATGACCTGATGGAGAGATCAGTGGGCATTCCTGCTACTCCAAGAAATGTTTTTTGCCCTCTCCCCAGGCCAGGCAGGACCTGTGAGTGGGTTCCATCATCTCTGCACTAGTAATCCCATTTTACAAGCAGCATTTGATATTCAGAGGATGTTAAAGCAAATTAAATCCTCCAAGCAGCTTACTGCAAAATGACTCTGTGCATGTACTTGTGAGAGTCGACAGGGGTTTGAGCTGCAGGCTGGGAAAGCCCTGCACTGACCCAGCTCTGCGGCGGGAGCAGCTGCGATCTGCCCGTCAGTCCTTGGCACTTGTCAAAGCACGGTGGCACTGCACAGGGAACAGTGCTGCTGTAGCAGTCCTGAAAATGTGGTTATTGGGTCTTATTTGAGATTCTCTTCTAGGCAGCTGTTTCTACACAGCCTGAACAGGAGCCAGGAAGAAAAAGAGAGGTTTTTCACTGGCTTTGTTCTTGCTTTTGCTTATTACCGAAACCATTTGTAATTAAACGTGGACTTGCTCACTCAGCCCAGCTGTTGCTTTTCTGTTTGATCCTGCCTGAAATTACAGTGGTGGATGTTTGACCTCCTAGGCCTTTTCATGCCTTGTAGGCTGGTATAAACACCGGGTACAATTTGCCTTTGAAGCAAGCAGGCACCGCTCCCACAGAGTTCAGGAGGTGCTGTGCTTGCCGACCCCCAGGCTGCGTTTGGACTGCAAGGGTTTGGACCTCAGTACAAGACCCAGCAGGAAGAGGCACTGCAGGAAAGCTCTGACCCTGAGAACACATACTTGCCCTGAACAAAGAAAGCCAGATAAACTCTAGCCTATTCATGATGGATGCCTTCCTCACAGAGCTTACAGTAGAGCAGTTCACATGGACTGACTATTAAATGGTGTGAAAAGCTTCAGACCTTTTCTTTCAGAAGTCATTTACTTTGCTACATGCTAATGTTGGAGTAGAGGGACTCCAGCAGGAAGACATCTGTCCATGGCTTCTCTCCCACCTTCAGTGTGCAGGAGGAGCCAAGGTGGCAATCTTTCTGGGAGGATTGGGATGGTGGGAAAACCTGGTGCCTGTTTGCAGCATCCTGACATGTTACTGTAATTTTTAAGCTGACCTTCCTCTCCAGCCTGGGCCCCCCCAGGAGCTACTTTGCATCCAAAGCTTTTTCTTGCAAAAGATGCTCTTTTTCCATGAGTTGGCTGGATCCCTTTTCTATTATGACCAACAGTAGTTACTTGAGATCATACGTGGACACGGGTGAGACAGGCACAGGCTCTCAGTTTTTGGAATCTTCAGATGATCCAGAGCAAGTGCTGCAGTGCTTGCATGCCTCTCAGGAGCAATTTCATTTCATAGCAATCCCGTGGGCTTTTATTCCTCAGCATCAACTGCAAACAATTATTTAGCTAAAACTCTTGGACATTTTTCTTGTACAGGAGAAGTAAGAATGCCAGTAACGCAAGTAATCAAGACCTTTGGAGTAGCTGGAGGTGGAGTTTTTTCAGTAGTTGCTTAAGCACTTGAATAGTTCTGCTCCTCCTAGTGAATTCAAAGCTTCCCATCTCTCTCCTGCTCTTCCCTTAATGTGCTCCAGAGAGTGCTGTTCTCCCAGACGCAGAGATCCAGCCCCTTGCACCACAGCCAAATGTCTGGGTGTAGTAGCATATGACATACTTTCTGTGGACATGATGAACCAGCTAGGGGCAATACTCTGTGCCCTAGAGCTAGTTTTACTTATTTCCTATTCATACGCTTTTGTTGTGAAAGATTAAATGTGGCAATAGCTGTTCCAAGTAAATAATTTCTCTTCGGGTCTTAGATCCCTTGTTATTAACTTCATTTTAATTATTCATTGTTAGTGTCTGTCTACTGTTTTTCACATATCAACTCCTTGAGTCAATGTGGTAACAAGGTTAGGTGAGTTTCTGGAATATCGTGGTTTATTTGCTAGTGGAACTGAAATTAATTACTCTATAGGGATGAATGTAGAAAGGTGTTTGTATGTGTCAGGAAGGGGAAGTTTGTTGTTGGGAAAAATGATTTGTTCAGTGTTGAAGTGTTTTTGTCACCCATAGTAAATAAGATACTGATTGCTGCACACTTGTAAATCATGTGAAACCCCTCATCCTCTGAGCATCTGCCTCCCGTCTTGAAGTCAGTGTCACATGAAATAAGAACCCAGAGCACTGAGGGTGCCCATCTCAGCCAGTGCAGGCTGGCAGCAGCGAGGGCACCCGCAGGGGTTTCACAGCCCGGCTGAGGAGCCAAGTGAGCCTGGCTGTCCAAGCTGTGAGCTGTGCTCACACTGCCATTGGATCCTGTGCTGGGGACCTGACTGCTTCCTGCAGGCAGGCTTATCCAGGGCTGCAGTCACCTCTGAGGCTCAGCTATGAGTGGGAGAGCTCTGTCATTTTGGGACTTTGCCCCTTTTCTGAACAGTTCTTTCTCCTGAGCTTATGTTAAACCTATTTTGATAAGAAACAGAGCTCTGTGTGTGGGAAGTTTCACTCACTTCCCAGACTCAAAGCAAAATGTGCACTAAACATCCTTGTTTTAAACTAGTCTCTCAGGAGCAGTTCTCTTCCTTGTTCTCAGGCTGAATGAGTCAATGCCTTCTACCCCAGCCTCTGTTTTGCAACAGAAATGAATGAGATTCTTTCACTCTGTGCTGTGCTTTCCTGTGGCCGTGCTACCACGCATAGTAGCTTTCTTTGGGGCAATGGCATCTTATTGGAAAGAAGTTTAACAGTGCCTGTACAGCTCTGTGCCTTACTCCAGTCCTCTCTCTTGATGTGGCTAAGCTGGATCCCTGGGCTGGACTAAGTGGGATCAGCTGTTTCTTTTTCTAGTTTTGTTGGAGGTTCAGCAGAATGGAATCTCAGCTATTTGAAGACTTACTTCTCTAAAGCATCTGTCTTATAAAATAAAAACAACCCCCCACTAGTCTGGGGCCTTTGATAATTCCCCAATGAAAGTTGTGGGGCAGTTTTCCCTTAGGGCAGTACAGGTTTTATGAGGTTTATTTTCATATGCTTTCATCTCTTGGATCATGAGCATTTCTCTTTCTCCCTCTGTGAAAATGATTGAGGAAATTAACTGCTAATGGGGAATGAAGCCAGCTGTATTTTTATTCCAGACCCCTTGCAAAGTTGCAAAGGGAAACCCCTATATCTTCCCATGTTGGACTTGCTCTGGTTGGAGCGAGGTGAGAAGGGCAGCCTTACTTTATGGATAAATCCTGGGATTGAAGGTGGATGCTAGGAGCTCCTGTTCCCAGCTGTGCCATGCCTTGGGCATGTGTCTGCCAAGAAGATTTGTTTCCACTCTTGTTTTATTTTGCTTTTATAGTGCTTCCTTGCATATTAACTGAGCTGTACCATGTCTCTTGAGTGTCTCCCCCATACCAGATGCTTGTGTTACATCCTCTTGCTTTCCCACACTTGTGTTCCTCCCTTTTTCTCATGTCAAGGAGCAAGTTCAAGCTGAATCATTCTTCATAAAATATGAACCAAGTAAGTAAGGCTGGAGCAGGAGACAGCATAGTGATGTTCCTTCCTCTCAGGCAGTCCTGTTGCCCCAGGCTTTTCACACAGTAGTGGCTTCATTCATGGAAAATCTCATACTAGTGGCCTCATTCATGGAAAATCAGCACACCAGTATTTTCCAGCATATTTGTTAGCTGAAACTTTGATCTGCATGCTATGTTGTCATCTTGTGCAGAACTGTGTTTAGCAAATGGGCATGCACAGGCTGGCTGGATTGATATCAAGATGTGAAGTCAAGCAATTAGAGTTAGTTACCAACTAATGCCAGCTTCTCCCTTCCAGCCTGAAAGGAGATGTTGGTGTGACTGAACTCTTGGAGGGTGCTTGGTCTCTCTTCAGAGCTGCAGCCTCATCAGCTGGCACCAGTCTCTGCCACTGCTCTTTTGTTTGAGTCTAGAAAAAGACCAGGAGAGGCTGAGCAAGTGTTTGCCTGGCCCATGGGGATTTCCTCTGCCATGAGGATGGTTAGGATAGCTGGGATTCACTTCAGCTGTTGCTGTCCTGGTGTGGGGGTGGCAGAGCCCCCCATTTTTTCCACTGCTTTTATTCCTGTGGAAAAACTGAGCCTCAAGTGAACTGATCTGAGCTGAAAGGGCACCTTAAACAAGCTTCAGTCTGTCTCAAGCTCTCCAGGGTGCTCTAATCCAGTCTGCCAAGCCATGGAGTACTTTGTTTCCCTATCCAAGGAGTTTCAAAGCCTTACTAATGTGTTGGGTTGCAGCCCAGTCCTCTTTGCCCCGGGGCCCTTGCCGTTGTGCTTTTCAGAGCTCGTGGTCCTCGAGGCAGTTGCTGTACAGAGAGACCCTCTGCAGAGGCAGATAACCAGTCTTGTGTTGGCAGTAGATGTCCCTCTGGGTGTGCAAGGACACGTGTGACATGCTTTTGTACCCGCTGAGGCAGGGAAGTGGAGGGAACAGATTTATTTGGCATTTCTGTTGGAGACCAATCTTTATTTGGGAATCCCAGAGAAAGATGTATTTTGTGCCATCTCTTCTTGCAGTATCTACTATTGATTCTTCCCTGTGAGGGTGGCAAGGCCCTAGCACAGGCAGCCCAGAGGACCTGAGGCTGCCCCATCCCTGGGAGTGTTCAAGGCCGGGTTGGATGGGGCTTGGAGCAATGTGGGATAGTGGAAGGTGTCCCTGCCCAAGGCAGAGGGATGGAATGACATGATCCTTTTTTAGATCCTTTCTAACCCAAGCCATTCTGGGATTGTATGATTATCAGCAAATAACAGGGGATATATATGAGTCTGATCTGACCTTGTGCAAAAGCTTTGGTACCCTTTCAAGAGCTCATAACTTCAGTGCTGTTACTAAGAGCCCCCAGGCAGCCAGTGGACAATAGTGACGCCTGTTCATCGCCTGACTGCCTGGCTGGAGAACAATGATGGCATTTCTTGAAGTAACAAGTCCTGGGCATGTGCAGGGTTGGATTGTAACACTTTTTCAAGCCCCCCCCCCCCCCGCTTTAAGCTGCAGGCTTGAGAGCAGCAGGTCTGATTGCAGCACCCAAGAATGCCAGTACAGAGGGAACTTGCACCTCTTGGAAAATACTGAAAAAAAGTAAATGGCTGTTTTTTTAGATGCTTGCCTGTTTTGCCTTGAGGTTGGTATGCGTACACTGTATGTCACCAGTGTGTGTTTGCTGTTCAGAGGTCGGTTCAGATGCTTGTTTAGCAGCAAGGAGGGGGTTAAAGAGAACTCGTGAAGGCTGGCTGGTTGCTGCTCATGGCTTTCATAATGCAAAGCCTGTGGGAATTCAGCCGGCTTTGGCTTGGTCTCCCCCCACCCCCTCCCCTCTGCTAGAGGCAGGATAACCTTCCTGACTCCTCTGGAGCTGCATCCCTGCCAGTACGGCTTGCCCAGGGAAGCTCTGTGAAAATCCAACAGAGGCATGAGCGTGTGAAAGATGAGATTTTTTAACTTCTTGGGAGAACACTGAAAGAGTAGTTTTTCAGCATGGTCGTGCTGTTTCCTTACACTGTGACTGGGATGCAGCATGTCTGCCTCTTCATCTGTGACCTGCAGATTTCCCATTGCAGGACGGCTGAGGAAGCAGCTGGTATATGTGATATCTCTAACTCTCTGGAGACTGGAATGCAGGGTTGTCCTTGGCTTTGCCGCAGGTTCTGGATGATGCACAGCAAAGTTGTTTAGGCCAGAAAAATATGAAGGTGGTTCAGCAGTGGTTTGTACAGCACTCTGCACACTGACCTGCAGCCAGCACGGTGCTGTGATGGGCACCCTGCACCAAGGGCTTCCATCTAATGTTTGGTATCAGAGAAGTGCTGAACAGACAGTGCAATGCAGGGCCTTCTGTGTCGCGTCTGCTTTAAGGACAAGCACTATAATGGTGTTTTTCCTAATGTGTGAAATCCCTTCTCCCTCCCTGCTGTTTGCAATAACCCTTAGGAAAGCTGGAAAGACTTTCCATTTCCTTTCCCACTCACACGCGTGCATTTGTGAGCCTCGCCAGCAGTATTTAGTTATCTGCATTGGAAGGGATTTTTTTCTACTTTCCCCAGTCAAAGAAAAGTGTGTAGCATTTGTTTTGGATACAAAAACACTTCTCAAGAATTACATGGCCTCTGCAAACAGATCAGCACAAAACAGGTCATGTGCTTTGGGCTGACTTTGAAGACTGTACAGAATAGCTGTCTCCATCCTCACTTTATGGTTTCATGACCATTGCTTTTAACAAGGACCCTTAAGAATCTTTTGAAGGAGTAGTATAGCAGCAGCTTTACAGGTCCTGTGGGACAGTCAGGGTGCTTAGCAGCTTTCCCCTGGTCAGTGTTGTGATTGCAGGGCAGGGTTTGGATTTTATGGGGATAGAATACCTGCACTCAAACAAATGCGGGAGGGTTTTTCATCCTTACTTTTCTCAGAGCTTTCGGAAGTGAAGTTTATTGGTGAATATTAGTAAAAGGTTGTTGGTCATAGCTGCTGAGGGACACTACAGAGCTGTCTATCTTCTACTTCCTTTGTTACAAACAAACGTCTCCTGGAAAAAAGTTTCCTGCTGCCTCCTTCCTTTAGCACTAGGCAGGCTGGATGGGAAGTAGGTAGCACTGCTGTTACAAGAAGTGCTTTCCTGTCTCTGCATGGCACAGGGATCCTCTGGTCAGCTTTGATATCTTCCTGCTCCACAACCTGCCCTGCTTACGTTGACCCGGGTCAGCAGATATTTGTGCTGCTTTGTCCTTAGCTACTGAAGTACTCTTTAACAAGTATGTGACTCAGTGGCAGGTGTCACACTAGATTATTTGGAGTCAGATCTGTTCTTGAAATAAAAGAAAAGCTTTGAGTGCCATCCAGACTAAACCAGCACAAACATCTCAGCCTGAAGCAGTTTTGAGGAACATGTACAGCTGTGTTGGGACACAGTGCCTTTATGAGCCCATCCTGGCCTCTTGCTGCTGCTATTTTTATTGAGTAACAATGAAAAAATGCAAACCTTCAGTGTCCTTTCTTTGTTAGGTGCTGTGCTTTGTAGGAGGGACTCTAGGTTTTATCACCATTTTCTAGGTAATTTGAGCCAGAACCAGCGGGTTTGTGATGTGTGCTGAAGTACCAAAACCTTTGCTGGAATGGGTGGAAATGTTTGGGACCAACTGTCCTTTTAATGTACCCCCTGGAAATGCCCTTTGCCTGGTCCCGATCACTGTGCTGTGGTTATTGTCTTTATTCATCCTGGCTGTTAAACAGAGAAGTGAAGGCATGCCTGAGGTTACCTGGGAAGCCTGGTCCATGCAATTTCCCAGACCTAGGGCTGGCCCTGAGCTTCTGGATTGCCTTTCTTGTAGCTCTTGCTTCCTGTGTAGCCTTTGTGACTGCTGGGCTAAATGCTGTTGCTTTTAAGTGAAAAGTCTGATTGTGCATGTAAAAAGGTTTTCAATAAAACAACCAAAAAAAAAGACAAAAGCCCAAAACCCTCTCTGAACTGAGCATGCCTAACATGGCAGGCCTGCAAACTGGCTCCTCAGTCAACTACTGTCAGCTACAGCCTCTGCCTGGCTGCTAGAGCTGAAGGCCAGAAATGCTCAGGAGTTCATCTGCCTCAGCTCCTGCATGGCACACTTGTCCTGAGCCACGTCTGTGCCAAACCAGTGGTCTTTTTCTGGCCTCTCTGGTAAAGAATTGTATCTCATTTTGAGTTCTTCAACTCAAGTAAATGAAGAATCCTCCCTTTCTTTGAGCTTAATTAACAGTGGCAACTAATTGTTGAACAAATAATTTGAAACCGTTACAAATATGCCAGAACTTCCCAGAATACAGCAAATTTCTTGAGTTCTGCTTTTGTGGGTCTTATTTAGGTGTCACTAGGATGTTGTTGTGTTTATGCCTGTTCCATGTGGAAGAGATTGCCGCTGCCCCTCTTGCTCTCCAGCTCTCTCGAGGTGCCTGTCTCTGAATTTGAGGATGCACAGTGGCTGATTTATGTCATTTACTGGCTTGACCAAGGGCATACTCCTCAGCTGTATAGCTGTGAGTGATTCATCTTTCCTCATCCGTGGAGATAAATGTCAAGATAGATGTCAGCTGTCTGGCTGATGCATGAGTGAATCTGCTTTCATATGTGCACCTTGAGCCAAATGTACACACATGAATTTTTTACTGTTTGTGATAAACCTGAAAATGCAGATTGTGTTGGAGGAAGAGGCCTCTTGGTTTTAAATATTGATACCAATATAACAGGGCTGTGGCTGTGACAATCTGGGAGCCTTGAAGCATTAGCTGAGAGATTATGCTGAATGCCGTGGGGAATTCAGTGGTGTGTAAAATAAAAGTGGTAACACGCTTCTGGTGGAGAAATAACACACGGGGTTCTCTTGGTTCCACAGGCTGTGGGGCTGAAAATGGAAGAGATTCAGGCTGAGTCTTTGAAAGAGGCCCCTGACAGTTTTTTTTATTTACTTTGATTTGTGATGTAACTAAAAAGAGAGCAGCTGCCCAGAAACCTAGGCGCCTATGGATTGATTGCTGTGGAGGAAGAGGTGAAGACCCTGTTCCTTGGAAATGCTCAAGGCTTGGGGAGCTGGATGTGGGGGGTCGTCATCATCTCTAGAGCCTCAGTTCAGAGAGTATCAAAGTACTTCTGCTGTGTGGTTCTTCATCAGCTAATCAAGTTGAACAGTCATCCAGAAGGCATGCTGAGGGCTGAGAAACTTCTTAAAGTAACTTTAAATGTTCTCATATCTCCATTCCCTTTAGGACTTTGAGCCATGTGTGGAGCTAATACACAGTCAGACATGCTGGGGTTCCTGCCTGTGCAGTTGCCTCTTCCCCATCACAGCTTGTGAATAAATTGTAAGAAGCCTGCAGACTCCTGAGCTGGCTCCACACAGTGTGCCTGCCAGTTCTCAGAGGGCTTGCTAGCAAAGCATAGCTCTCTGGAGGATGAGCTGTGCTGCTTTCAGATCTGTGCTGGTTTTGTGCTTTCCCATGCCTGGTCTAATCAGCTCTCTCCAAGTGGGATTTGCTGGGCAGTGCCTGTTGAGGCACCTGAGCTGGCTGCACAGCAGTGAGTGGAGATCTGATGCTTTGGGCATTGCAGCCCCACGTCCTCCCCTGCTGCTGTGAAGGTGGGCAGCTGGCTGTAGGATATTTTCTGGTTTTTACGTTAACTGGTTGTAATAAGTGTTGTCTAAGACATAACTACTGCTGGCTCCTTATTTAATTTTTGCAGGATATTCCAATATAGAATGTAGCTCTTCCTACAAGAAACCTTCAAAATAAAGGAGTAACTGCTGATTAGGGTAGCAGAGAACATCCTAGCACAACTGGGACTCCTCTGGGTAAGGTAAAGCTGTGCAGGAGGGGACTCCCCTTTTGTACTGTGCCAGCGGGATCTCAGCACCTGATGCATCAGGGGCCATCTCGGGAGCACATTGTTTTGAGTTAGTGTGTGTGGCAGTTGTGTACACTGTCCTGTAGAGTTTGAGCACCTCAGCATGGTTATTTGGTAAAAGAAAAGAAAGCTTATAAAAATTTAGAATAACTATCTTCATGTGAAAAGCAAACACCACTGAGAGGCTGCAGGAGACAGGGAGGGGAATAGCAACCCAGTCTCTTAATTCAACTGAAGTTTCACTCAGTGTGGAGAGAGTAAATGAGAGGAAGTGATTTTTCTCTGCCAAGTCCTTTATTTAAATATAAAAGCTTTTCATGGCTACTTGCAAGAGATACTGTTAACAGCGTGGTCCTTTGCATGACGCTTCTTTCAGGCTTTGGCTCCTGCAGCGTCAGCCAGATGATCTTGCCACTGGCTGTTGTGTTCCCACTATTCCTCTCACATCCACGGTCGTTGGATCTTTTTGCTGAGCTATTTCAGTACACTTAGCTGAAACTAGCCTGACTGCCAGCATGGTGTGCTGAAACAGCCCTGCAATAGCTGAGTGCTGGAGCCAGTGTCATGGAAGATACGGATAGATTTAAATTCTGAAGGAGCTTCATTCTTAGTTAAAGAACTTAATCTTTCCAAAATGAGCTTGTTTTCTCAAGGCAGGAAACATGCACCAAGGAAGGACCATTTTATACTTTCTGAGGTGTGTTCTCTAGAGCAGTGGTAGAGGCAAGGTCCTGGATAAACCACGCCCCTTGGACAACAGCTCACTTGCAGTGAGCAATCTCCTGTTTTGAAAGCTGTTCTGCGTGTATATGTGTTAAGGTTACTATTAGGATTATCATCTGAAGTTGCATAGAGTTGCAAGAATAAATAGGTCATGTGCTAGCACAGCAACTCTGAAGTCACATACATGTAGCTGCTGGTGCAGTCAGAACTCAGAGACACGATGATACATTTTCTTCAGCTTTTTAATTAAACAGAGACTTGAATTCTACATTTTTCTTTCCACATTTCTTCAAATTTCTTATGTTTGCCCTCTTCCCCCACTTCAGCTTTCCCTGGTAGATTAGAGCCTGCTGGAAAACATAGAGCACATTGTGAAGTCCAAAGCAAAAGCTGACTCAGTGATCCTTCCCATTTAGGCTGCCACTGTTCATGGAACAGGAGGTCAGCCTTAAATTACTTCTGCCAAAAAATACTGCTGCCCATTTTATTAACTGTTGCTGTGTCTTTTAACTTAGTTTTTTTAGAAAAGTACTCTACTAGTACTGTAACAGTCTGGGAAAGAGGACTTTATTTTCATATGCTGGAATAATTCTCATTTTGCTGTAAGAAGCTTTTTCATCTCTTCTCCAGATCTGTGGAGAAAGGTGCTGTCCTAGGCACAGCCCCTGTCTCTACCAACAGTGGCCCCTGTCCTTGAAGGCTTTCAGCTCATCCTTTCTTGAGGAGAGGGGATATGGTTGTGGTGCTGGGTGGGTCCCTTTAGAGCAGGCATAGGGCAGTACAGGAAGAAGAAGACTTCCTTGTCATTCCCATTATCCTTACTAGCTGGAGCAGATCCATTCGTGACCTCAGAGCAGATTGGCATCAAAACCTGGTCCATGTGTCTGAGTGTGATCTCTCCAGTGTGTATGAACCTGGATGCAAACATGGCAGCAGTGCTGGAGGAGCTGGTACTGAGGTGCCACTACAAAGTGAAAAGTGAACCTCATCAAGTTCCTGTGTTCTCCAAAAGCAATCAGTGACAACTTGCAGTGATATTCCAGGGAGAAAGCAGATTTTGAGGAGGGAG